ATACACGATCACAAATAAAGTATGTGTTATGCATATGACTTTCTTTAACCTTATCCCTCAGCACTGTTCATGTCGCATCCGAAAAAAATGCGCCTAAATACATAATAAATAATAATGACCGCGTTCGCAAATCTTGTGCACTTATAGTTATGATTCGCGATTTTAATAAATGCGCCTTGCCGATCGATATTATAAATACAACGAGTTAAACTTATAACACAACGCAAACGAACATTTAAATAATGTCTGGCTTACGTAATCGTTCTTCATTTCAACGGACTTAAGATGAATTCATCTGACATACGCCAATAATATGTTTCTCACGTTCATTATAGAACAAAATTCAATTTTTTTAAAACTTTTTGTTTATCTTTTTTTTTTCAGTCAATAATATGAATATTTTTTCATACATATAATTCTAAAATTTAGTTTCTTAAGTATATAAATACCCCAATTAATTTCTAGTAACGTAAAATTACCTCTTTATCAAAAATCTACAAACATTTTAAAGTAATTTTCCAGTTGTAATTTAAAACTGTGAATAGTAGTAAAAAGCCATGAGAATTAGAATAGAAATGTTTTAAAGCTATGAATGGTTCTCTTTAAATTTATTAATTTTTTTAATGCGCTATTTATTTTTTCAAAGTTAAAGAAACAGTTAAGTATAATAAAAGTAAAAATTCAATCAACAACAACAAATTTTGTTTGGTGGAATTGTATTTACATTTAACACAATATGCAGACTTGTTATCAAATAAAATGTATTTGTTTAAAATTCTATTTCTAAAAAGTTATTCGATGGGGTTTTCCGTTCATTTCACGAAGTCAATGACGTCGTAGAATTTTTTATGACATGGGTATTTTTGGTTATGTAAAATATAAAAGTTTATAAAAAACTAATGACTTACACTGTAGATAATCTTATGTCTATAATTATTAATAACATGATCTTAATAAACAAATAATATTAATTTTGTATGAAAATCAAGCTTATGGTTGATCAAAATAAGGTTTTAGAATATTTCTAAAACCTTATTTAATTTATTATATAGTCTTGTAAAAACTACTGTATCAAATAACTAACAACTGCTCATTTGTTGTTATACATATTTATATGATTAAAAAATAATAATAAAAGAATAAATTTAAAACTATGTATAGTTATTTTCAGAATGACTTTTTATTAAGCTACAAAACAACGTGATTTTAAAGATAATTTGCTTATCTACAAAAAGATCATAACAATAAATTGATCTACATAATTGACCATAATTAATTCTGTAACTAATAAATCAAAAACATCTTACAGCCTATAGTTAAGAGTGTTGTTAAGGTCAGGAATTTCTTAGAAACAGTCAGTAGAAGCAATAAAGGTTTGATAAACTTTACTATCCACATGTTATTTCTTATGAGTAGAAGCTATTGAAGGTTGAAATTTAGTAGAACGCAATACAGGCAAATGAAAAAAAGATTAAAATTTAATTACTTTTAGTTCCAGATAGATTCTTTGTCGCCCATAATAAAGTAAATTTTTAAAAGTGAGTTACAACACTGTTGTGAGTAGCATTGACAGCCTTTGATTTTTCACAAAATTATAAAGAAAAAAATTATTTGTGGTCTAGCGTTTTTATAATTTTTGTGAAATTTTCACTAGTAAATTTTAGTAAAATTTACTAGTGAATATGAAATACTAGAAATAATGTAAACGAAAAAATAAAAATGGTAGATTACAGATAATTTTCTCATGAATAATTTGGTAAAAATGTTGGGACTATTTAATTCAATGAATACTTGTTTTAAAATTGTGTTGGACTTTACAAAATTATTTGTAAAAAAACGGTTAAAAAGTAGCTATATTTATATTTTTAAAAAAATTAAATTTTCAATTTTATAAGTGAAAAATAATAAAAATATACTTTAAACGTAGTCTCTATGAATATAATAATTATTAAAAAAAAAAATGTAACTAAATGATTATTGTATCAATAGTTATAAGCCTGATGAGTTAAGTCGGAGATATCCTGTATACATACATTTTTTCGTATTAGTTAATGTCTAACATACTTGTCTTGGTTCATAAAAGTTTCTGAAAATTTGCAAATATTCGAAACTAATTTTTGGGAATTATTAATTTTTTTTCAATAAAAAAACTATTAGTATAATTTATATTATTTAAATTTTTATAAAACAATATTTAAAATAAAAAAATTTAAAAGCTTTAGAAATGCAAAAATAAGAAGCCATAGAAGTATAATAAAAAAAATATTAAGAAGCCATAGAAATATAATAACAAAAATATTAAGAAGCCATAAAAATGTCAAAACAAACAAATCAAGAAGCTTTAGAAATGCAAAAACATGAAGCCATAGAAGTATAATAACAAAAATATTAAGAAACCATAAAAATGCCAAAACAAACAAATCAAGAAGCTTTAGAAATACAAAAACATGAAGCCATAGAAATATAATAACAAAAATATTAAGAAGCCATAAAAATGTCAAAACAAACAAATCAAGAAGCTTTAGAAATACAAAAACATGAAGCCATAGAAATATAATAACAAAAATATTAAGAAGCTATAAAAATATAATAACAAACAAATTAAAAAGCTTTAGGAGTGCAAAAATAAGAAGCATATCAAATATTAAAAAGTCATAGAAGTGTAATAACAATTATATTAAAAAGCTATAGAAATACATAATAAATGAGTCCTAAAATTTTCTAATTTTACTAGTAATAATCAAGTTCCGGATAAAAATGTGGATTTTATTTAAAGAATGCAGTTAAAAACTAATTCATATCTGATAATATACAAAATGTAGATAATTAAAAATAACCAAATTTTTTCTTAATATTGTATTTATTTTGCAAGTTATTAGCGGGTTATTGTAGCCAATTTGTAGAGTAGAATTAAACATAAAAATTGAAAAAAAAAGGTCTTATTAATTTGATAAAATTTAATTTTTTGTATTTAATTTTACAATATTTAGTAAAATATTGCTATTAGGTGACTTATAATGTTTTAAGATCATTATGGATAAATGAGTACATATGATAGTAAAAGTTTTAATGCAACAGCAATATCAATTAACTTTTTATTATTATTATAATATTAGTTTAAAATTTGTTTTGAGAAAATTGATCAACAATATAAAATACTTTATTTGACACAATTATTCTTAAGACAAATTTTCAATTAACGATAGTAATAACTTAAGTTTGCTAAAAATATTAAGTTTATTACACATGCGTTATTTATACACATGAAACCTAGAAATTTGAACAGTCAATTTAACAGCTTTTTTTCTATTATTCTAATTATTAGAGCAATGATTTAACTAATTATTAGTTAAATAATATCTAATTATCCAAGTAACTTTAATAACTAGTAATACGTCATTTCATTCATCGTTCAATCAGTTGCCAAATAATAACTCTTTTTCAAATAATGTGTACTCCATTTATCAGTAGACTGTGCTTAAATAATTTTACCTCTTTCATGTTATTATGATCAACAATCCAGTTTCGTTTTCTAAATCTATAAATAAGCAACAACTCGAATGATAAGAGATTACATGACATGTATTACGTAGGTGGTTTTTCTTTATCTCGTGATCAGGTGTTAAAAACCAAAGAAAAAATTAACCAAACACGAGCACGTGAGTGACCTAACCTGATATTTCTCTGTAAATAAAATGTCTAGTCTAAGTAAAGTTTAATAAGAACAACAAAAGGTGCGACTTCAAGGACATGTTAGTTAAGACTGGGTAATTAAAACAAATTTTCTCATATGGCACAATTGTTTGTTTGTGTATCAGACTTTGGTCTAGACAAAGATATTATGAAAATACACGTGTTTAACCTAAGTGAACACGTGAAATGTTAATAACGGATTATCGAAAATTTTTACCAAAGTGAAATATGCTTTTCTTTCACGTGTAAATTTATTTTGTATTAAGGTGTAAATAGGTTACTATGCTTAAATGTTTTTTAAATTATTGTTTGCTTATACGTTTTTGTAGTATTTTATTAGCACTATGTCATGTTCACGGCGATTATGATCATTAAAACCGTCACACTAATCTACTTAAGATTTTTAAAATCATTGCGTTAGCTGATCGATTCGACATAATTGTCCTGATATTAGAATTAATATCTAGCTCACATGTAGTATATGAGGTTTTAATGCCAACCCACTATGGGCAATACTGGTGAAAAACATTTTTATCTTAATTACCTATGAATAGACCAATTGACTTAAATTAATTAGCTTCTAATATACTTTCTTAATGATTAGATAAAATTCGATGGAGCTGATATATTAGTTAATACACAGTAGTTTATTAGGAACTTACACCACAACTTTCTTTATTCGTGTACTCCAAATTTCTTAGATAACACTAGTTTGATTTTTATACGCAGAGAGTTGTCGTCAACTTTCTCTTTGAATGAAAAAATCTTAATAATTAATTAGTTTTAGAAAAAAATAAGTATCTTCTTGCTCACATATACATGATAACATGAAAACATTATAAATAGCTTTTAAGGCGAGAAAGATAACATACCTACTAATAATAAATATTGAGTACGTTTTTTTCGAAATAAAAAAAAATACATTAGGGTTTTTAACGAAAAATTTTATCTCAAATAATTATTTGCAATTAACACTGAAATAATTCGAGCTTTCAATTTTACTTTGATGGTTTTTAAACCCTTTATACTTTCTTCATTTAAAGGGTTTAATAAATTGAATATTTGAGAATGACATTGTGGTCCGATACACCCGAATGGAGCCTTCTGAAAATAGAACAATGGGTATATATGAACTAAACTAAGAGACTGATGCAGCCGCGAGATCCATCATGTTTGTTTCCCGACATGATGTTGACGTTCAAGGCTTTATCAATAAGAAGAAGTACTTAAATTAAACGCAGAGCGTTCTCCTTCTCAATAACACCAAACTATTTATTATTGTTGTTACCGGTCGGTATTTTTGCCGCACATAGTATCGAAGAGAAGGTCTCCATTATTAGATTTAATCTTATAATAGTCGCGATCAAAGTGCCGAGCTTGAAAATAATTATATCTATACACATTTTTTAGTCCTACATAATTTACTGTAAGAGATAAGTTTACAACACCTTGAACCCTACTTTTTTTAAACCTATTACTCTGTTGTTATCAAGACTTCGACGTACACGTTTGTTCGTTTACTGAAATAAAAACTTTTTTTGTCAAAGTGAAACAAAAAAAATAAAACAAAAATGAACGGATTTGCGTTAAAAACAATTGCTATAACTTTGCTTGTGTGTGTTATAATCGATGTAAGTATTTCCATCTCAATTACATTATTTAATATTTGCACTCATATTCATGGTTTTAATTTTTTTTTATTTGGACTATAAATGTTTAACTTAAATAATACAATAAAAAACTATAACAGGAAATACCAGGAGTATTATTAAAATTACAGATTATAATATTTATGTCATAAAGTATATTCGACTTATATATTATACAATTAATAATTTTTAGGTTCAATATCATTTAAACGATATTATCTATATTCATAGGCGAAACTAGACCTTTGTGTTAGACCAGGCCAAAAAAAAATTAGATCAAATTTTAAATGACTAGTCCTTTTTGTCCTGTACTACTGTAAATAGAAGATATTAAATTAGCACTCCCAAATTTTTTTTAAAAATAATTATCTGACTAATCGATAAGTTTTCGACGAAAACCAAAAGGTTCCTTTACAATGTCTACAATGTTCTAATATATAAATTTTATAGGAGATAGAACCCTTTAGTTTTCGTTCAAGATCTGTTATTAGAAATAATCAAACAATTTTATTTTGCATTAAAAAATATTTGAATAGTTTTATCATTATTCAACGATATTTTTACAAGATTACTTATGGGTGAACATGTAATAATCAAAATTTAAAAAGTTACATAAATTACCATAATAATCTTTATATAGATAAAATGAGAGACTATTGCTGTTGATTGTATTTCAAATTGATAATAAATTCTATACACTATCTCTTATTCTTTAAGATTTTTTGTTTTTTATTATTATTAATTAGGTACATACGAAATGATAGTTAAGTTTAACAATTTTGTGACATCATTCCTGTGGTCGAGTTTTACGTTTATTATCTGAAAAGGGTTTTAAATATTAAGTCTGGCCTAGTCGCCTGTTGAACCGTAATTTCGCCTTTGTATATATTTAAATAAGGTAGTCAATAGGATTAACTAAAACTAAACACCCGTGTAACAGATTTTTTTTTATTCTCTAGCTATTCTTACACTCATATTCTATACCAAATTTGACACACATAGGTTAAATACATAAAAGTTGTTTACTGTTTCTAAGAATGATTTTATTATGAAGTGAAAATAGTTCATGATGTTTGTGAGACAAATGTTTCTTACTTAACCAGCTACTTAATACACCCGAGATTTTTGTAATGGTAACTGGTTGCTTTAAACTTAAATTTATAACGGTTATGTTATTCAAAAATATGCAATAGCGAAATTTCTTAAGCTAAATGTGATTTCTTGTAAAAACTAGGAAAATTGTTTAGAAATTCTACCAAATTCATTAACAAAAACAATTTAACTAGAACATACAGTGGCAGATTTAATACTGCAAATATTGAAACTTATACAGTAGATTGCGGATTTATAGTTTGAGAACCCCAGTGTTATTTACAAAATATAATTTTTAGAAAGTGAGCATGAAATAGGCATTAAATTTTTGAATTTAACAAGAAATTTCGTAAAAATTTACGAAATAATTAAGATTTTTTAATCAATAGCAAAAGTACTTTATTTAAACACTAACACAATAAATAAAACTAAATACAGCTATACTAAAAGCATTTATTACAGCCATTAATAAAAGCTTTAAAAATATGGTTTTATTAAAAATTTTGCTAAAATAATATTTAGATACGCTATAATTTATTGCTCAACTATCACAGTAATTGAACGTTTTATCTTTAAATTATTGCTATTCCTATTTAGAATAAATCTAATATGATTATTGGTAATATTTGCCAACGTATATGCCAAATGCCGAAATTCTACTATGAATAAAACATTGTGTCAGTCATACGGATGTGATGATGTTCACATTGAACAAAATTGAACTTGAATAAAATTTATTCTAAGATCATAATGCTCCCTTTAATTTATTCTGTAAATGAAAAAAATATTTGCTTCTTGTATACAAAAATGATTTTGTTTTTTTCTTAATGAGATGCGATAAACACTCAGAGATTATAACTGTAAATTAAATTCACCTAGTTAAAAAAAATTAAGTCATTTAATTAATTACGTATTTTTTGTTAAACTAGTAAAAATAAAATATTTTAATCCAAATTATTCTAAAAAAATTATCCATTAGAATATATGGTATAAATTAAGGGACAAATTATAAATAGTTAAATATAATATAAAATCCTTAATAATTACTATAGTGTTACTATTTTCAACGTACTATGAAAGCAATATTAATAAAAATACAATTAATTAAATGACCAATACACTCATTACTTGTTAATAAAATATGGATTATATACAAAATCCGATTTCAGTCTATTTTTTACAATATTTTTATATATAATAGTATGACCAATTAGATTTGTTAACTGAAACTCAATGTAGCAAAACAATTTATAAAAACTGTTAGTAAATTATTCGAATAAAGTATAATAATTCTGATAACCAATACATTTGTAAATTATATATTGACCACTAATTTCTCCATTAATAATTAAACGAACTTTTGTAATTATTTTGTCCATTGTGTGTGTTAAGCGCTTTCTAGCTAAATTAAAACATGCTTGTGAATGGATATATGTATCAGAAAATTAATTACCTACATGGAGTCAATTGTTTATTAATTTTTAATTATTTAGCGGAGTCGTGCTGAAACACCGCAAGACATTAATAAAGGTACTTCAATGTCCGACAAGGTGTCAAGTTTTATAAGTAATTTTAAGAGTACTGCCTCTGAGGCGCTTAGCAAGATTCAAACGAACACAAGGCCTGTACAAGAGATGGATGCTACTAAGAAAGTAGAGCAATCTTTGTCAAGTGCACAAGGTTTCTTTCAGGACACTTTTTCAAAGTTCAAACATGCCTTAAGCACTAAACCTCAAGCACCGATTAATAACAAACATGATGATTTTGACGAAGCAATCAAGGCATTTGATGACTATGCACAAACAACACTCAATAAGAAATATTAATTTAAGATACATATATTTTTGTTAAAAATTTTGGTACCCTTTTTGATATTTAATTTTTTTTTTCTTTGTATTTACTTTCATCGACTACCATTGTTGTTAGCGTAGGAATCAATTTTAAAATTAAATGAACATTATTTTATTAATACTAATCTATTTATTTTAAGTTTTGTTTTGGAAAACTTTGAGATATGTTTTTTTCTTGCGCCAAACAATACTCAAAATTACAGTAATTCACAATATATTTATAATGAAGATCAATATATTTTAAACTATTAAATAATACTTTATAAAATTAATTCCAGAATACATTAACAGTTAGTTAATTAATAGTGGAGTTCTTAATTTGTAGTATATATTATAATTAATATAACTTTATAGGCATTTTATTGTAATTTGAAGTTCCTACAATTTATAATCTTACACTTAACAACTTTTAAATAACGACTGTATTTGGGAAATATAATGTTGATTAAAACAGTTGTTTTAATTGGTTATCAAATTGTTGATTTTTTTCACATGATCATACTACTCTTGCTTATTACTTAAGCAGTAAACGTTGGAAACATGACTTATAATAAAAACAATATCTTCATTTAAAATTGAACTACAATTGGTAATTTTGTACTGAATCTACTCATAATTCTTATTTTATTTCTTAGGGATTATATTTATAAAATAATGAAGGTTCAATTACAAACTATCTCAATACAGTTAGTACTTTGAACTCTAATAATGATTAAAAGAAAAAACAGACTAGAACATATTTCCATGCAAATATGATGTTAATTTTACTATTATTAGTTACAACAGTACATGATTCATAAAGTTTACTTCTACATTACTTATACGTAATAATAGTTTTTCAGTATAATATAAATTTAAATCGTATTTGAACAAACAAATGGTTTCTTTTAATTACTTATCTAGGTCGATAATTAGTGAATCATTTTTTACTTATTAGTCATCTATGGTAGAATTAATAAAGCTAATGGTAAGGCGCATATAGACCTCTTGAACTTGATAAACGGATAATGATATAATTTTAACATTGAAACAAGTCAACAATACTTTTGTGTATAGAAATCTGACTTAAAAAACAACTAAATTTCTAACTTTTTTTTTTTTATAATATTTAGTTGACTCGAGCAAATGAACAACAAGTATTGCCAGATGGTCCGATAATTACCGAAGAACCACCCAAGAGCTTCAAAGATAAATTTAATGGTTTCGTGACCAGCGTTAAAGAGGGTGCATCTGATGCCTATGAGTCTGTGTCTGACAGCGTATCTGATGCGGCCAAAAAATTGGACGAAAAGCGCAAACAGGCCGTGGCGGGAACCAAGAAGCTCGTAAATGGTGCCATCGAAAAGATCAAAAACACTTACAACGGATACAAAAACCCAGAACCAAACGAAGAAGATGTTCCAGCTAAAGTTCAAGAGACCGCAGAAGACTTGTACCAAGAAACAGTGAAAAATATTCCACAAAAACCAGAAAAGTTTACTTCTTAATAAAATGTAACCATTTTGAATTTATATGTGTACAATTTTACCATTATTAAATTATTTACCATTTTAATTTATGTTTGTAACTGTGAATACTTTTACACGAAATAATTATGTGTACATTAAATATAAAATAGATAAACTGATAATTCTTTAAGTTATCATAGATTTTTGAACTTTATTACTCGAATTTTATTTGTAAGCACAGTTCCCAATAATTATTTATGATGTATTTCTTTATATGATTTAAATAAAATAAAATTTTATCCATTTGTATATGGCGGAAAAGTGATACAGATATTTTAAAATTGTATAGACAATGTCAAACTTAATTTTATTTAATTATAAAGAAGACAACTTTATGTTAAGCACTTTTATGAAAATGGAGGCCACTGATATTAGGATTAGTCAGTCGTTTAAATGAAAACATTTTCTTTTTAAATATTAAATTTAATATCATTTGTTTGCAATTATAATTGACTATACATTATTCATATTATTTATAGTATTTGATCTAATTATGAATCAGGCATTTTTTGTTTTTATTAACGCAGATAATAAATTTTATCAAAATCAATTGATCGTCTCAACATTAACACAATTATATTTTTTACGATTATTTAAGAATTCAAAATTAACTAAAATTGTTCTCTCAAAATAATGCAGTGAAAATCAACTTAAAATATTTTTTTATTGTTCGGTTTTAACTTTCGGATTATTCCTGTTTATGAATTTTTCAGACTTTTGTAATATACCAAATACTAATAATAACTTCAAATACTTTTCACATTGATTAATATACAAGTATATAAATTTAAACAGTGTCTTGTATAATAATTATACATTATTTTTAATTATTTTTAATTATTTAAAATACATTTATATTTTTTTATCAGATTTTCGATGTTTTAAAATAGCAGTACTATAATTTATTTGTACAATATATACTTTAGAGTGTATTTTTGTAAATACTATCTAGTAATTTGTAATTATAATGACGACAGTCAAATGTTTTTATTAAAAACAGAAATACCACAAGTAGATATTACAACAATAAGTTTTTATCAGTGGTGATAATATTACACTGCCGAGTATCAGAGTTCATAATTATGAAATGAGTAAATGATCATATCATCAATGGTAATATTAAATTTTATTGATATAATCGATTAAAACTGATAGTTCTACAGTAGTCAGATTCAAGTACTACACAAGGTCTATTTTGTTCATTTTATTAGTTCACAACTATTTTTATTTTACCTCATAAATTATTCTACACCAAGAAAAACAAGCATGGCAAAGTTACTTCGTCGATTTATTACCTTAGTGGTAGTCTCATATTTCATTATAAGCGTAAGTATGAAGATTATATTTACTAATACTTTTAAGTCTTGTGTAAATTTTCAATAATTTTGAATGATATGTTTTTGAAAAATGTATACGACATACAATTTACATAAAAAAAAAAATTCTAAAATCTATGTTTCATTAATTTATCCTCATTTAATATAATATTTAAGAACTATATTTTCAAAATTATTTTATTTTGCTCACTAAATCCCATAGAAGACAATAATTTTTGAAATAAAACTACATATTAATTACATGTTTAGCAAGTTATCAAATATTTTTTCAATTAAATATAATGATTGTGTATAATCACAAAACTTTAATATTCAATATTGGTTTAAAATATTAAGTGAATAATTAGTTTTAGATTAGTTTATATAAGATTCTCATATATCACTAAGTATAAATTTGGTCAATGTTGCTTAGATGTATAATCAGTTATCATGTTAAAAATTACCAAAAAACTAACAAAAATTGTTTATGAATTCAACAATCATAGGTTCTCCCTTGAGTAAAACTAAATATCTGTTTAAAAATTAACTTTGGGATGGGAAACTTTTTATGTGTTGTTTTACATGGTAAAAGATATGTTTAAAATTAATACATATATGAAAATAACTGAACAAAATCTATTTGATCGATATTATTAAACCTTATTTGCGATAAAAACAAATAAATATAAGAATAAACGTTCTTACAAAATTATTTTGGAAAAAGAGTCAATTGTCAATTTTAAAACAAAATTTATATACGTTTTCTCATAATCGATTTTTAACGTTAAACAGAAACATAATTTTAATAAACAAAAAGACAATAAAAAAGTTTTCAGTCGCCGATTGAAAAAGATAAACTTATATTTACAAAACTGCAGTAAAATCTCTCCGACAGACAAATATAAAAATTAACAATCTCAAATATTTTATAAGATATTGTCAAATCAAGTTGGAATATTATTATAATTTATTTAGCGGTCAATAAAAGGTCACGCAAACTTTTTATCGTTAGTAGCCAAATTGTTTTAATTGCAGATTAAACTGCCTTTGTTTATTATTCATTAACACTATTTAATAATAATTCTCACACTAATCTCATTAAAATGAGCCCAAATTCTATGAATAAAAAAGAAAATTAACAATTTTTAATAAATTATTTAAAAGTATTGATTGTTTTTTTTATACTTAAAACTTTATCAAAAGTAAAAAGATACTATCAAAACTTTAATTTAAATAAAAAACTCTTATGGATCTTTAATGTTTCAATCGTCAATCTTGTAATACCAATTTTAAAACGAACCATCAACAAGTCTATTATACTCTAAAAACGGCGTATTCGTCCATTTTTGTCCACTTAATATTCTATTAAATGTAATAATGTAGGGTTCTTTAGCATAAACCCGCTATTCATAAATATAAGTCGGTATGCCTAAACAGTTTATGTGTGTAAGGTTCAATATATCAACATCCGCCCAAAATTATTTCACAAAAAGTCTATTGTGGTTCAATAAAATTTAAACGTTCTGCGCAAAACCAAATGAAAATTGTTTAAGTCAGTATTTGTTTTTAATATTTTGCAGCAATGTTATTATAACTATTTTAATAAAACAATTGAAGTCAAAACGAAACAGTCTTAATGTGATTTTTAAAAATGATTATTTTGATTTAAAAATTATTACTTAAATGTTATTGAAATTGCGGTCATTAGTAAGTGGGAACAGGAAGAACAAATCATTTTTTTCAAACTTCATGGCCCTGTTGTTTATATTCAAATTATTTTAATGCCTCTTAAATTTTCAAATAAAAGGAAGTAATCATTATGGTAAGGTTATATATATTACGAGTTCATCTAGAGCGAACGCAAAGAGTAATTTTTTTTCAGTAAATATCAGCAATGATCATAACTTAGCATTGTTAACGCAAAATTTTTCAAGGTAACCTCGCGATTTCATTCAAATAACAGACAACTACGACATGTATATTATAATAATCGGAAGAAATATCCGGTATAATAAAAAGATTGTATATATTTATTTTTATAGTCACCTAGCAAGACAAATGAATATTATTTAAATCACCTGTATCAAAGTTGATTTTGTTTTTAACAGAGTCATCACATACTCTCAGTTCTAAAAAGCTTTTTCTCGAAATAATTATAGCGAACTCTTCTATTAGTTTTTATTCAAATTAATATTTTATACTTTGTTCGGGAATTTCAGTAAATAAATCCTCTTATCTTTTAAATACATAATTAGAATTAATGCATACGAATCAAAAAAACACTGATACGTTTAATATATATTATTAATACCATAGATTTTTTATTAACTTTATTTTAATTAATTTTTAATGTTTACAAAAATAAATTTTAAATATTAGTACAGATAACACGAAACTAAATTGCACCATTTCAAAAAAAAAAACAAACAATAATTTTCCCTTTGATGACTGACAACAGAGTGGTTTCTTTGTTTTTTTAGAACGTATACGCTAACGAAGATGCAACGACAATTGAGACCGCCCAGCCATCGATTGAAAACAAATTGACTGATTTTGTAAAAACTTTGAAACAACAGGCGTCGGCAACATTGGATAGCGTTGAAAATACAGTCTTGAATAAAATACCCGCTCAAGTCACTGATAATCTAAGGAACACCGAAAACAAACTAATCGGCGATGAAGCTCTGGACCGATTGGAGAGCTCGAAGAGAGACACCATTACCAAAGCTAAACAGCTGCTGAACGACGCTATGCTCAAACTGAAAAATACGGTCGAAGAACTCAAAATGAAACATGCTCAAGCCGAAGAAGACGTATCGTCAACATTAGACAATATTTTCGAAAAAATTGAAACGGACGGCAAGGCGGCATTCGATTATACTTCCAGTGTCCTCAGCGAAACTGCAGAAAAAGCCAAGGCTGCTGTAGAAAAATCGCAAAGAGATAATGGACAAACTTCGACTTAATTCCGCCCAAACTGTTTGCACTGTAATAGAATTTTGCTTTTTCTTCGATATTGGTGTAATTCGCGTCAACAATACAGTGCCCATAAAACAGATTATTTTAATTATTATAAGAAACCCAATTTGTCATTGTAGGGTGTATTCAAATGCATGCAAATTTTGAAAATAAAAACATCGGCAAAATATCAAACTATAAAATGTTTTAATCGTTTTTAATAGATATTTTTAAATCAATTGTTCTTTATGATATATTTTATCAATAAATTGAAAATAAACTTTTGATTTTTTTTTTTTATTACACTTGTAATGTAACAACACTTGTGTCGTCTTGTAAAAAACTGTATTAATTATAGTTATTACTATTCCACTAAAAATATAATTTACCAAGTATATGGTAAAAAAAACAAAAAAATTTCATTCCATATTTGGTTATTTACTTGATTATTTTCAAAAATAACTACAGTTAAACACATAATAACTATTAATGATACGAATAAATTATAAATTATATTGTATTTATATAGTATAATATTTTAAACTATTTTCAATCATTTTAATTATCAACAACAATATATTAACTGGCAAACAAGCCAATATTTTAGCTCAAAATTTTCATTGGCTTTGAAATTATCAATTTTATATTACATGTCATATTTTAAACACCAACCTAACAGTTCAGGAATAGAATAGGTCATTCAATTATGGCACTTTGTCATTACGTTCTCTCGATGTCATCGCTCGTTTTAGATTCATAAAATATAGATGTTAATTTCCATGGTAAACTTCAATCCAATTGTTTTTCTCTAAAGACTATTATAATAAAATTCAGATTTTTGATAACAGTAGTTAAAGAAATATCAATTTTTATATACCAACTAAAAATTAGCACACAAAGTTTACTGATGCGTTGCTTTTTATAAAACATTTTCTTGTCATCTGTATACTTTCCAAATAACACCTTAAACTACATGAGATTCTAGTTTAAATTTTAAAAATCTATTGGTTAAAACTAAAAATTTGAAAAAAAAAATGACTACAGGGAATTGGGCCAAAATTTTTTTTTTAATATCGGAAAATATGAAATAATATGTAAATACATTAAAAAAATATTCAAATCATTGATAAATTATTAAAAAAAATTCTTAATTCGTCCAAAATTTAATGTTAGTAAAAAATTAATCTTGGATACCTTAGTAAACTTTAAATTCTAAATGGTATAATAAAAACAGAGGCTGTTAAATATGAAATATTACCACTATTTTTTGTATAAAATAATTTTTTTTTTAATTTGAAGACCATTTTCCATTGAGACACAATAATAACTTGATAAATAATAGTCAGATATCGCTCTCTTATTAGAAAGCATCTTAAAAAAAGAAAATAATGGTATTTCAACTTTCTTTCAAATGCAAGTAAAACATTTTGTTTTATAGCTCGTCAATGGCCAACAACTTCAGACTTTCCAAGGAGTAAAAAAACATTTAGAAGATTTGATGCAAAGGAAATCCGAGTCCATGAAATATGACAGTCATCCGGATGTAATTGCTACGATTACGAACACGATTGAAGAGTGGGAAACAGAAGCCGTGACCGCTATAGAACATGCCACTGGTGCAATAGTAGATTCCTTCCGCGTAACTAGGGAGGCCATTCAAAAGTCAACTGAAAGTGTCAAGGCAGACGTGGAAAAGGACAAAAAAACTAAAAAAGCTTAACTTAACTTCAAACGTTTATGTTATCGTTCGTCTTTCATAATTTTACGTGATTCATATTAATTAATGCAATTCAAACAATTGTAATTTATACCTCGAGCGTGTGTACGTGTTTTTTTTTTTTTTAATTATTTTACAAATCTATCAGTAGGTAGCGAAAACTTTGTACAAATAGTAAAATTGTATTTTAAAAGTAAATACAAATTGATTATTGATAACGTAAGCTCTTTGCCTTGATCAAAATGAATACTTCATCGGTTTCCGGGCAAATTGTGTATAGAATGTCACATTGTTACGGCATATCCGAAATACTTAATCATCTACAATCTATCCGATATAAAATATGACGTTTTTTTAAGAGTTAAATTTTAGTCTCGGTACACTTATTGAAACGTGACTTGGGTCCATCCGATGATGTAACACGCGATTAAAAATGATTACAGAATCTGACTGACCAACTCTATTTTTCTATTTAACGGTGTTAATAACATATCCTGTCAACAATTCCGACGGTATGACGTAGTGACATAATAAATAAATTTTTATCGATGAATAATTTTTAATAGCTCGACAAATTTTTTCTGGTTAATAAAATGGCGTCTCCGGATGGATGGAAATGAATTTTAATAAATTATCGGGGGTTAATCAAAGTCCAGGAACTACATTACAGTTGGCTCACGAGAGATCACGTGTCCATCACGACAATATTTCAGATAGGATCTGCAAATGGTCTGCATCCGTTTTAAATATCAATCGCAGTTAACGTTAATGGCAACATCCATCGTTTTTGGATGTGTAACTGTTAGTAAAATTTACTTATGATAATTTTTAAATTTGAACGTTAGAGGAGAAGCTGGAGGAATTGACTCACCAAGTAGTACGGAACACTGAAATATCTAAAAATTTATTATTACGTAATTTCCAATATTATTATCAATGTTGGTTTAAATATGACTATTAGGACATTAATTATATTTTTTTATTAAAATAAACAACATTAATGTATGGCTTACAATTAATCGCACACATAAACGTAATCTAAGGGAGGGTTCGAAGGAGTTTACACTTCCAATATATATATTATAAAAATATTATTTTAGAGAAGAAAAATTTAACTAGACTTAAAAAGGATGACGGAGAGGGGACAGGAGGTACTGTTGTGTACACTCTTGGAATTTTTCGTGTTAATAACAAAAAAGAACTAACGCGAAACATACAATCTTAGCTACCAAATCTTATAATTTGAATTTGAGTTATTATCAATTTAAAATAGATTTAGAAGCGATTGTTATTAACAAAGTTTTAAAAATCAAAAGCGTCATTTAAGGCGAGACAGGTTGCTTGTCGGTTCATCAATAGAGAAAATAAAATGTATTGTTTTTTATTTTTAGATTTATTCCATATAATTAATAATAAATTTATTAATGTTCTAGTGAGAGATGTGTTATGTAATAGGTATTTTGACTAATATTTTGTTGTAATTAGTGGTGCAATAGGCTCGTATGTAAACATTTTTTTCTCGAGGGGTTTATAATTTTTTTAATTTAAAATACATGTATGTATATGTATAATATATATACATGTATATATATTTTTCATATTAGTTAGTTTGGTATTAACAAATTCTGATAGAGGTTAAAATGAGGGAAGGTCAAAGCAAGCTTTAATTGAAATAAATTATTCACTATAATAACTTGATTTATTGAGACCAATTGGTAAATAACTAATTAATAAAAATTTATTATTTTAAAAATTATTAATTAATTTAAATAAAAGTCTATATTGTTATCTTGCCCTGTGTGGCATAATGCCATTTATGAACGCTCAAGTAAAATCTTACACTGTAAGATTTACGTTGTACAGTATATAACAATATCACATCATTCTTGAAAAAGGTATAAGTGCATATTATAACAAACATAGGTTTATTATTATTGTTAATATTATTTTTGAAAAACTTGTCGTTGTATGGTTTATATATTTCAAAATATTTACTAAAAAATTCATAAAGATTACATCCAAGAAAAATTTCTTGACAAGTATCAATTTGTCTCGCTATCACCTTTAATTGTTTTTTCAATGGGCATTTGTATAATTCATGTCTGTATAAAACTACAAAAGAATTAAGTATATTTTTAATAAATTAGCAGTAAATGTCTAAATTTTAATTGTTTTTACTAACGATATGTTATAGCTTAGTAGTTTTTATTACTTGGTACCTGAAATCAAATTTTAATGTGAGTTTTTTAGGACTAGAGTAACTTTTATAAGATTGTTTTCAAAACCATTATGAAATCGGCTGAAGGTCAAGTTGAGTTCTAAGAAACATAACATAATAAGCTTCTTAAATTGGTTATTTAGTTACTCAAGTATTATTTTAACATTAATAATGTTTGAGCAAATATATAAGTACATAAATTAAATATTTTTTATATTAGTAGAAAATTATAGTAACAGGTGGTACAAATATTTAAATTAAAATGTAATGTTAATATTTAATTTGTACTTAAAATATTTCAATTTCTTTTGTTTAAGTTTTAAATCACTAAATATACATTGGTGGAGTTAATTTTTAAAATGGAGAAGCTTTACCCCTCTTTATGGCCCTTGACAATTTTTGTCTATAATTATTGAATAATTAAAATATTAATAAAGGTATAAAAAAATATTATTAAACATTTTCTACGATTATTTTATATATATATATATACATAGACTAATTTTTCTTTATAAAAACAATGTTCTAAGCTGAATAAACGTACTATTGAAATCATAAATTTAAGCCAGGACAAAAAAATTTATAATGTAACAATTTTTTTGGAATTAAAATGGACACCAAATGTTCCTATAATAATTATGTTTACATGGGACCGGCTATTGTTCAATTAATTAGGGCATATTGTTTTTCTTAAATGCTAAAAATCTATAAATTGTTACTTACAAACATACTAGTTAGTACGTTATTCACAGACTTTAACTGTTATCTATTTATAATATTTATTTAATGGAAAACGTTCAATTTTACTTTGATAATCAACATAGATTATAATACCATCTTATAAATATTCTAATTCATATTTTAATTAATAACTTCCAAATGAAACATAACCAAAACGATTTCATTTAAATTATTAATAAATAACACGTTTCAATTAATTAACTTAATCATTTTAACCATTTATTCCTCATCTATTGGAATTATAACATTCGATTTACTAAACTGTTTAATTTATCTTTTTAAATGCTCTTTTAGCAAATTGAATGAACTACACAGTAATACTTAAATAATAGTATTTTTATCACATTTTTTTCTATTATTAAAAAATCACTATTACCGTGTAAATAATTATTTGATCAAAATATCAATTAGTTTCTTGTTAAATTTTAACAAAACTGAATAAATAAACAACATTTTATAATTATTTTCTTTATTATTTAATTTTTTTTTATTTTTAAAGAGTTTCAATAAACAAAATTGGTTTTCTTCGGATTTTCATAAAATTGAATAACATAGTACACAGAAAAAAAAAAAATAAAATAAAAATAATAATAATAATAATAATAATAATAAAGAAAACCTACTTTAAAACATAAATGACAATTTATGTGTTTTTTTATTACATGTCTATAAATATATGTTCAATATAGGTAGGTAGGTATATACAAAATATGACTCAGTTTGCTTAAAAAGTGCTTAACAAAGCTTGGCACAATTAAATCTACCTAATATAAGTTACTTAAAAACTTAACATTGTTACATAAGAAAAAATAATAAATAATAAAACGAAATATTAAATGATTTCGTTTTACATTTAAATTATATAACTCTTAAAATCTACAAAAAAAAAAATTTCTGTACATCAACGATAACATTTACAAGAACATAATATATGATTCATTGTTTTGTCAACTAATATAATGAGAAAACTTTATGAACACAGTGGTTGTTTTACACTCCTTTTTTTTTGTTATATAAACTATTTGCTTATAAGTCTAATGTCGATTTTGTTAAAATTGCACAGGTTCAAAAAAAAAAATTATAGCAGATAATATATAACTTTCTTGACATAGGTCATTTTGATAGATTCAACATTAAATGAAATGTTGTCTTTAAATTATTTCATTATTTGTAGAACACATAAAAAAAGTAGGTATTATTTAATGTACTACATAATTTACATTTAATATAAAATTACAATCTGGCTTATATCAGGTACTTAATAATATAATATGGTAACAAACTAATCAAATAGTTCTTTATAATATATTATTCTATGCTTAGAATTTTATTTATCATTTAATCATAATACAATGCTTTCAATGAAATATACAAAGTAATTTTCAATTTTAATTACCAAAATATTTAAAAATAATAAGCAAAATTAACTAAAATACTAAATTAAGGGGACTGAAATAATTTTGACACAGAATAATAAAACAAATTCATACATCTTAAAAATAGTAATAGAGCAAACAAACAACTAAATTATAGTAAATTTATTTTAAGTAAAGTTAGAGTATTGCAGAATTTAAGGCACTTTCTATTTTGTACTCGATTATTCTAGTCTAAAGAAAAGGAATATTGTTCGATTTTAATTATTACATAAAATTTCTAATAATTTTATAATTATATATACTTTTTAAGTCCTCAAAATTTATATTATCAGTAAACATTAGATTTTTAAATAAATATTTTATTATTTAAGATCAATAAACAATTTCTATCTGATATAATAGATATTTTATTGCAATACTAGATGTTTTAACTTTTTTGATAGTTTTAATTAAACATCAGAATAACATATTAAACATTTTAGATTTGCAAAAGGCGCAAATAATCTGATTGATTCAGAAATAACATCGTATCCGTCTCTAGCAATCAAATATTTAGCCATTAAATATTTTTTTTCTTTTTCAATAAAACATTTCAATTTCTATTTATATCTTTAAAATTGGCACAAAAACTTTTTAAATAAATAATTTAAAATGTATAACAAAATAATCAAAATAAATAAATAAAAATGGTCTTAAACTAAAAATTCATAACAAAAAAGAAGAAAAATAGAAAGAGAAATTCGTCAGGAAATTAAGAAAATCAGTTTAACAATTTAAATTATTTACACGAGACAAAGGATTCAACAAAATATTTAAGTTACAATAATGTATACTCGTACTGCATAATAAATATTATAAAAAGCTTGTATAACTTATACATAATTTTTTTCTTAAAGGAGATCAAATGTCGGTGGTAGCATTGTACAAATAATTATTTTTATAATAATCAGGCCATTATGATGATTTTTTTAAATTTCTAACAGTCGATGGATTCAGATTTAATCAAAACCGAATTTGACTGTGGTTGACACGGGGAAGGTGATTTTAACTGACAAGGTGGAGACGTTATCACAGACACCGGGCTACACCTTTTGTTTTTTAATGGTAGGCTATTAGAGTTGGTCTCTTCCTCTTCCCATTTGATCATCGCATCATTCACACTGATCGAGTCTTCTTTGTTCAAATGTTTTTTCTAAAATAAAACATAATTTAGATTCACATCAAAATAACAATTTTACAATATACACACCGCTTTTAGCTGATCCTTAAGGTACTCGTTTTCCCTGACAAGATGCTGATTTTTAGATTCGACTGTTTCTAACCTCAGAGCTAGACCTTCAACTAATTCTATCACTTGTTGTCTGGTAGTCTCCTTAGCATCACTGAGAGCATCAAGCACTGCAGCTACTTGTTCCATAACGCTTGCAGCTATAAATTTCCAATCATTTATTATTTTTTATTCTACAAATATATACTCGGGTAAAAAAAAAATAATAATACTCACCCACGCTATTGTACCTCTTCCCAAAGTCTTGCGTTTGAATAATGTCTTTATGTTCTTGATCTTCTTTGTCTTTGTACTTGACCTGCAAAATAATTCAAATAAAATTAATCATTTTAATGTATATTGTGTTGCGTCTTTACTTAGAATGGGGCGCAACTGACTTACCGTGGGTTTCGTTATATTATTATTGTTGTTAATATTAGATGGCATATGAGTTCCATTAATTTTGACGGGAGGTGCTAATGCGACATTGGGTTGAAAGCTCCGACCAAACTGTTCGGACTGCGAGTGAGATATAACTTTTTGCGGATCCACGAGTCTGGGCGGTCTCTCTCTTTTGATCAAACTGTGTAAAATAATTGTTTGCATTAGTAAAGAACGTATACACATTACGGCAGACGAAATTTGTTTAAAACCTTATTTTCAATAAAACTAACCTGTCACCCCTGTAAAGATGCGAATGCGGATTATTAAGGTACATTGCAGGTGGTGGAACGCTCCACGCACCGTAAAAGTAGTGGAACGGATCCACCATGTAATTGGGCAACGTGGGTGCCATGCTAAGAGCTGTGTAATATGCCGCCGTGGCTGCAGTGGGCGCTTCCTCCAGCTTAGTTCTCTTTAACGAAGGAGTCGGCGTTTCCGCTCTGCACGACTCGGGTACTAGATCCATCAACTGCTAACACAAAAATTAACAAACATGTTTATTAAAACGAATTGATATTTTTTTTATATAAACGTGCAATACGGCGATCCCAGCCCCGGCTTTATTAATACAAAAACAAGTTCCGTATAAGGACCCGACCCAGCGGTGGCCTAGACGATGGAGCGTGTAACGTCTGAGAGCAATCGAGATGAAGACGGAGTAGAAGAAATAAGTGGTGTGATTTGTCAAAAACTGACGTTACCGCGCCACGAGTTCACAGCGATGATGAAGAGTTCCTCCGTGCAACTCTCGAGTATTCGGACGGAGGTAACTAACGCCCCGTTATTTATTTAAGGCGTCGTTAATTTTAAAAACCGCGATTTCGCCGGATAAGATCAATTACAGCAATGGAAGGGGCGGTAGAGACCGATGTTGTAGTCGGGGGGCGCTAACGGCGATTGCTGTTAGATTTCTCCAGGGGAAACTGCAAAACGAGAAGATACTCGACACCTTCCACAACAACTACCAGCGTTTCTCGAATTCGCTCGTCTCTGTAATTGTCCCGGCAAAATCATTTTGTACCTCCGACCGGAAAAGTTCAACATAAAAAACTCTGTGCGATACACCCGCGGAAATCATAGGCCGATAAGATACTTTTAAAATACACTCATTACGCATTTGCGGACAGTGACCAGGTCGTTCGACCACCGCCGCGTTGGGGAGACTCGTTTTTATGTCGATTTCGAAACAGTAACAAAATCGACCTACAGGAAGTAACGCAGTTTTTTTTTTTATAGTTCTATACACGTTCAAATAATAAAAAAAAAAAATAACTTTTTAACGAGCAGAAATTCAGCTGTGCAAAGCTGTTTTCTTAAACGCACTAGACATACGCAGATTCGCTTTGTTAAAATATTATTTGAAATTTCAATTCCATTATTTATTTTACACGTTTACTGACTGGTTTTCCAATAGACTAGCTAGACAATCATTTTGCCTTCGTAATTTCCATACAGCAATACACGTCCTGCCATACGTTAAAACACGGATGTGCACACGTCGATGCGTTTTTTAGAAAATTATTAATCGAAATGCTGATATTAGCTCGCAGAACAACGCCACACTATCTGTCCGTTGTCCTCGTCAAGCCGGTCACCGACCTCGACACCCTCTGTTTATATATTATTATCATAGTGTGCACACACTCGGGGCGTTACTGCAATAATTATAAGTGTCGTGATAGGGTAAAATTAAACAGAAATATTTAAAGCTCATGTATGCGCACAGACTTAACACAACACCCGAGTTTTTATTTATAATTACTTTGTGCCTTCACCTGCATAGTTTGCAGTGGAAGCCCAAAAATGTCGAAAGGCACGAAAGCCGCACTTTATTACGGCCGTCATATACACCGTCGGCCCAACCACCAGCGTATGTTTTAAAAAAATAAATTAGAAAAAAAACATGAATATTAATTGCGACGAGATAACGATCGACGTGGAAAAATTACATACATTAATGCACGTACATATTAATCGGGCCAATTAAAGTCTCTTTGCATATTAATCGGTACAACGCGAGTGTATCTCCAGAGAGGGACAAAAAACAAACGAAAACTTCTCAAAGCGGCGTTTCTAGAAAATATATTGCGACACGGGCGAGCAGAACGCGGCACGGGACTCCCAGACCGGCGTTGGCCGCCACCAGTTTCAATCGATACTGTGGGCTGTTGCAACGGGAGCTGCTGTCGACCGAATTGTCGATATTTGTGCGGTTATCGACAGACAGACTCGCTGGAAATCAAAATTAGTTTCGCCGAACACCTATACCAGCTACACGGTTGTCCGTTACCGTTGCCACAACAAATGTTCAGCCACCACCCCGCCGCCCACAACTGTATTCGGGAATGTGCGTTGTTAACCAGATATATTTTGCGCATCATTTTACTTGATTGGCGGTCTCGGAGGACGTGGGACGAAAGAAGAAAATTAACACTACAGTGTGCACGAGTACAGACAAAAAGTACACGCGCTCCGCACGGATGGGGTGGTGGTTCCGCCGCTTTTGATTCGGAATATTGAACGGGTCACATATAAATGTATACAGCCGACGTGAAATGGAGCAACGGAGATACACTAAAATCGTCACCGCCGGCGCACACCCGCCGCGAAAAGGCACTCTGTATGTATAATTGAACCCCGAGGTAGTATTGATCCGTCTGGCGGTGACGTCACATCCAGACGTCCCTCGTAGACGGCAGCAGTGGGAGATATACGCAGTGGCGGCCGTTCAGGAAGGGTCGACGAAGGGACCGAGACAAAGGATAGGGAGGTGGGATGCTGCCGGGTCGAATCCGAACGCATCGTCTGGCGGCGCCCCGTCGATGGTGTAATAACAAAAACATCGCGCGAAAAAAATAAGAGTAAGTCCGCCTACACGACAATCGGCTCACCGCAGGAGTCGGGATTCCTCAAAAACTAGAATAAATACAAGTGAACGCAGCGGCATAAACTTATGCCCATCTACGTGGTCGACCCGTGAAGAAATCGTCAAAGGGACGACTTTAAGAAAGAAAAACCGATAAGAACGCATACCATTGCCACACGTAATCGAGTACAGAACCATTACGAAAACACCGCACGGTATGTGCCATACGGCGGCGGCGGCCGGTGGCCAGGCACGCATTTTATAGGNGCGGCGTGCGGTGGCCAGGCACGCATTTTATAGGAGAATAACATCGATTCTGCAGCCATACCGACCGGACGCCTATTTCTGTAAATTGAAAATCAAAAACGGTATTTCATACAGTTTCGACACATACCGTCCACAGAAATACCTCCGATCACCTAACACAACAATATCTTATTGCGATACGAGTAAAAAAAAACAATTTTCTAATGGAGGTGGCCGTCCAAAAGGAACCAACAGAGCGCGTGTACGGTCCGATCACTTGCCGCAACGCATTCCGCGCACTAGTCAGCAGTGAACACGACTTTGTAGCGCTATTAGAGATGAACGAACGGGTATGTGGGAGAGGAGACGAGTTTTGTGCGGCTACAGGCCAATAGTAGAATATCAATTATTATAATGTTATTTTCGGTGCGGCGGTGTACGAAATCATTTCACTGGTAGCGACGACAATGAACGTCGACCACGACAAAATACCAAATGAACTCTCGTTAAATATTCATAGGACGTTTGTTTATCCGGAAACGCGCCCAGACACAAAATATATCTGAGGTCTAAAGAATTAAATATTTAACGCCGAAATAACTCCACAGTTGTCCCCAACTAGACGGTTAAAAATCCAACCTATTGTTTTTCCACGTCCAAGTATTTGACGGGGCAAGGTTTCTTATTTTCTGGAAATTATCCTTGTGAGAACACAAACTGGCCAATACGATTTGACGAATTCAAGGGCACAGTTGTGTTCGCGTGCCAACACGGAACATATTTAGGGTTAAAAAAAATACACTTCAATACACAGTAATGGCATTAGAAATGTTTTTTAGCGTAGGCCGTAGACCAACAATACTTGTAGTGCAAGACCACCTGAACAGCAGAATTTTTTTCCTCTCAAAAGACTTAAAATCCGAACGGCGAGCAAAATCAAGGCCGCCGGGCAGCACACACACGTGTACAGGCACACTGTAGATACATTGTTTCCCTTTCATCCGGTCGAGAGGATTGCGGGTAAACAGGTAAACCGGTTTGCACCGTACATAATGCGCATACACGTCAAATCCCATTACCCGGCCCGGGATGCTGTGACCGACGCGCACAGCATCTGTTCGACAGCTGTTATTCAGCAGCGTACAACACCACGGCGGCGACCGAGATGGCTTATAATAAAATTTATAATATTGGCCGCGCACGCGCTCCTCCGTCGACTATTGTCCGTTGGCGTCCAACCGCACGTCCTTGTGCGTGTAAGACACGGTTGCGCCACCAAGTCTTTCCTAAACAGACACCAGACGAAAAAAACCAACGCGCTCACAATTACCGCGTCGATCGCTGTAAAATCAGATTTCACAAAATGAAACCCACTTCAAATTACCTTATCAACAATCTCAAAGTGTAAATATTCATGTCAAATTTCTACAATAATTGTATATAAAAATTCAAACGTTCAAAGCGAATCCATTATTTGTGCGCGGTAAAAAAATAACAGCCGACGACGACGACCTCCTAATGATGGTAACGTTGTTATTTATAACATTATTAAGATTCCACGTCTCATACCTATCTATGAGTTCTTTAATCCACCCACGCCGAATTCGTTTTGTGGAACGTTGCGCTCAGTAATTATCGTTGTTGTTACGAAATTTTTTTATTAACGTTTTGTTTCTTGTACCGAAATAACCAAACCGAAAACTGACAGAGTGTGTGCAAAAAACATATAATTAACAACGTACATAAAACACGGACGAGTGTATATCTAAGAAAAAATATAGTAACATATGCAATAACTCAACTATAAATTAAATCATTAACATATATATGAATAATCGAAAAATGTACAATAAAAAAAAAAAAATCCTTATCGTTCTATTAATTATTTAAAAAAAATGTCTACAAAGCGTTGACCGCGTTATCAAAGAAAAAATCGTTACCGATAAGAAACATATTATCAAAACAAAATTTATACATCACTGCTATCGCAATTTGTATTAAAGTTTTATCATCAAAAACAGTCACGAAATAATCTGAGGTCAAAACCACTCGGTCGACTTTAATTTTAAATGTTTGAAGAAGAAAAAAACGGGAAAGCTCTTGGTCGACTTGTTTTGTACATCCAGTGAAGTATGTCGTTATCTTTGATGAACTAAGGGGGATAAAGGGTTTGCGTAGGTCCTTTTTTGGTCCAATCAAAAGAGTATACACATAGAATTGAAGGCGACAGAACGGTAAGTGAAGAAGACACGGGATGCGCTTGATAATTAAGCTTTAAAAGTGATAAGTATCGCTTTGTACACCGACCGAGTAAGCTAGTACGAACGCCATTCACAGGGTTTTGCGGCGACACGCGAGTT